TTCTCAGAATTAAGAAAGACTGACTAAATATACTACTTGATTCCGTGTCAGCTGGATATTACTATACACCACTGGATTATTGAGACTTTGATGAAGGAAACATAGAAACTGTATGTATACAAAGCTAAAACACAGAGGAAATTACTGACTCATTACTGGATACTTTTGTCCAGCTCTCAGCATCTTCGATTACATCGTCAATATACTCTTATCAGTGGACATTGGGGGGAAATAGTGACACAGTTGATTAGGAAACTAGCATATAGTTAAACAAGTGAATTGGAATTTTGTGATATTTATCTAGATATATAGGTCTTCTGGCCAAGGTTATCTTATGTATATGAGCAAACAACTGGATTTTGTGTCAACTAGCCAAACTTTAAATTCTGGGATATACGTCGTGGGAAACATACTTGGATTAAAAAGGGAAGGAAAAAGAACTGATATAGGTCGGAAACAAATATGTTACAGAAAATTATAGGGATTTAGGATCAAATTGTTGAAATTGGAAATTTTGATTGAGACATCAGACATCATAAGTAGAGGTGTGTCTTGGTGAAATGTGGAGGGATTTTCTATTGGATAATAGATAGACCATGACCTGTCGGCTTTAGGCGCACCACTTATGTTAGATAACTAGCAATTTGTAACACTTAAAGTCTGGATGATTAGCAACCAGTGAAAAAAACCTCATAATCTTTTACTTGGGGAAATTGACCTAAATTGGAGAAAAAAATGTCAAATTTTGTCAACAGAGAGATTCATTTTAAAACCAAACTAGTTTGCGAAGAGGTTTTGTAAAATGGAGAAATAAGCCTTGTTGGACAAAGAGATGTGTTTTGTCAATGCAGACGTAATATTATCAGTGGACCTTGACTTGTGTTTGAGACAACAGCAAGGAAGGAAAACAGAGACTGTTTTGTCAGTTTGGTGCCTTGACTACGTGACATTATTGGAAATAGTGTCTGTTCATGTCGACAAGCTATCTGGGCTGGTTTTATTACCCATGAATCATCACTGGGGCTTTTCTTGTTTGGGACGCTGATATAGTCGTTGTTGGCGTCGTCTGGGGACTTCTTGGTGGTTGTCATCGTTATATGGAAACCCTGTGGATTCTCATTATTCGGAACAGGGTAGAGGTTGTCAATTCATGCCTTGGGTAATATAAGTTGTGGTAATTAATTAGATTTAAGATTTTTTTTTCCTACTGGCACGGTAGATTTATCAGGTAGAGATTTTATACAGCTTATCCATAGCCATCCTTGAGTGAAGTAGACAGGGCAATTTACCCCAAAAGCTCAAGGGTCGCATTTTTATTCGTGTTTGGATTTTTGTGGAGTTGACAATAGTTGTGTCAAGCAGGGCTCGTTAGATGTCTCTTTTTAACCGAACATTCAGAAAATGTAGGTTATATTTATTTGCTTTTTACTTTTTTTTGTCAGATCGCCATTGACACATGTAGCTTGGAGCAATATTTTGCTTCTCCACAGGTGATTTGGAAACTGTACCTTTTGTGAAATTTATTCATTCTGAAAAAATGTTGTTTTTTGATGAAGTCAACAAAAGGCGTTTGTTCAGTAATGATTTCTCCATCCACAGTGTGGCAGGGAGCTAGATGGTAGAATTGAAAGCTGAGGAATTTATCCAGTGTGTCAGAATTTTTTATTTTAAATTGGTTATAAGTCTGTTTTCAGTGGTGGCATATTTTGTGTTAAATTTAATGAAAGAAGTCTGTTGTTAACAAAACTATGACTGAGAAGGCTGATGCAGATGGACAGTTGCCATTAGAGGAATCGGTGCCATATTTGGCAACTAGCTTAGTTGCCACAGGTATTGGATATACGGTAGGGTTAGATATTTTAAGTGTCACTTCTTCCGAAACCTAGCATGCAACTGAAAAAAATACAGATTTATTACTCTTAAGTTAATTTGGTCAACTTGGGACATATTTAATGGATGCGGTCATGTTTGAATATCAGCCTGCACTTGAGTGCAGAAAGAATTAAAAAAGGCATGTTTGCACTTTGCAAATTACAACGTGTAAAAGTTGCAAAGGCTTTGCCACTGCAGATTTATTGTTCTAAATTCTACCGGTGCTAAGATTTTTCAATATGTTAGCTAAGCGCTTTAGTTCAATTACAGTGGTAAATTGACCTGAAGAAAAACACTTTTTTTTTAGTTCCTTAGGGCAAGTATTTTTTGATGCCCTTATCTTAGGTGTAGGTTTCTTTAAATGGAAAAACAAATTGACTGAAAAGTCTTGTTCACATGAATACAAATTAGGAATGGTTTTGAATCACTCATTACTTCAAAAAATTTTCATAAGTCTTTTGGTTGATTGCTTTTCATCATATTGGCCATCCTTATACTATTGGATATCTGCTTGTAAGTTATTACCACCCCCCTCCTATAAAAATGAAGTGCTTGTTGACATGATATACGGAGCCATCAGATTGTATTTCCAGTTAAATTGGATAGATCTAATTTGGTCCATCCCAACTCAACTTGGGAACCAGTAACTGTAAACTCAGCTGATCTAGGTGCAGCAAGTGAGGGACTGAATATAATCTAGCCATATCAGAATCAATTAAGATTACATGAAATTATCAAACAGATAACGTGCTCAAGGGTGACTAGAAGAGGCTGTGGTTTAGTGGCAGTCTTAGCAGAATGTAGTCCAGTTCTTCCCACTGTGTAAAATGAGTGAGGTGATTGAGTTTTGAGGGATTTACTGTATCTAAACCTTAGGTCCCAACTAGGTTTTGGACGCACGGTTTTTAAGTTCCTTTGCGTCTGGCTAGGACATAGCTAGATCGCACGTAGCGACTGTTGATCATGTCGAGATGTTTCTACGTGCTGTTTGCCTCCTCTAAAAGTCGCACGATGGACGTGCTCCTCACGCACGAACTCCCATGTTTCTCCCATTTTTTTTTGTCGTATACCACACGTAGCAGCCCGTACGTTTGGTTGGGACCTAGGCATAACACATACAGTACTCAGGCAGCAGCTGGTAACACAGTATTACATAGCCATACAATGATGATATATTTATAAACTGTGGATATTTGTCTTGACATAATCCAATGAATAGTTCTTAATGAATCATAGATTCATTGGGTTGTGGTACAAATTATATAATACATTAGACAAAAGTCAGTTCAATCTGGACTTTGTTTCTCAGTCCTTTAGTTATGGTTAAAGAATTGTGTCAGGTACTTAAAGTCACATTTATTTTAAAGATAGGTGGGCTCTTTTGGTTGTAGCTCTTCTCCAGGGTATTTTTGTTTAAGGTAAGCTCACCCTTGGTAGGAATTACATGCAGTCCTTTACCTTTGTCTTGTAAAGGTTGGTTTTTATGGAAGTGAAAAGATCAATTTTGTCTAAAATTTAGGAGCAGTAACTGCTGAGAGCAAATGATGAAGTTTATGATGGTTCAAATTGGGGCTGATGTAAATGTGTCTTTGCTGTTACAGTACACTCTCACACACGCACTCAAATGTGTACGCAGACACATGCTAGTGCACATACACACTGTGAAGTATCTACCTACATTTTGGTAAGCTAAGAAAGCATACACACAGGTGCACACGTGGTCACACACACACACGCACACACACGTTGACATCGTTGGGCCCCAGTGTACAGTGTAACCAATACACCAACCCACCTTCTTTATCTCCAGCCTTATTTAGACTGAACACTGCAAACAGCATGGCTTAGGAGCTGAATTGACAGGCACTTGTTTTGGTGACTGGTGACTCTCACCTAGCCTTCAGACTTGTGTACATAGATTTGTAAGATATAAAATATTTGTACAGCCTTGCTGGACTGCGTGTGAGGGCTGGAAAAAACATTGACATTGAGCGTGAAGGATTTAAGGGAGCGGGTGGCTGCGGACTACGTCAGCGCACTGCAGCTCCCAAGGTTTGTTTACTTATTGTCCCATGGATGTAATATACGAACTACCCGAGGACAACAGTAGCGATAAGGGATCAATAGACTTACAGCTGAACGATTCCGCCTCGGCTCACTCCACTTCCAGTGAGGCTAAGGCAACTGGTGGGGGTACAATGGACAGGCTGAAATCCTGGTACGGCTCTCTCCGAGGGAAAAAGAGGGTGCCTGTTCAGTGTAAGTATCAACTACTTTTAAAAGTAAAACTGGTTGAAAATCCTTCGGATTTGCTACTTTTTTTCCTGAGGATTTTTGTCTTTGCTTTGAACAAGTTTTAACAGGGTGTGAATAAGGCACTTACCAAGTAATAAGTGTCATGGTATATCTGCTGCTACAGACATGGTCACTGGCTGAGTTGAGAACCTGATCTTTCTTAAAGACTTTGTGTAGGTTTATTTGACTTCTGATAAGGAGGATTTAAACAAAGATGCAACATGTTGGATGTAAGCACAAGATCCTGTTGAATGTGTGTGAGTGTGAGTGTGTGTGTGTGTATGTGTGTGTGTGTGTGTGTGTGTGTGTCTGAAAGTATGAATTAGTTAACAATAAATTCATTCAGATTTCCAAATGCAGCTACCAGAAGGCAGAAGTTTCATATTTAATTTTATTCCAATATAATACAATTAAAATGAACAGACATATGAAGATTGGTTAAAGTGATCATATATTTAAGAATACAAATCTGCACAAAATACTATATTTTGGGTTTACAGATTTTGCTGTTTCCATATTTTATGCTTAAAATGATATAAAGGAAGACTTATTCTTAAAACTTCATTTAGGTAACAATAGTGTTTGATTACTGATATTTTTTCGTGTATGTTTCTATATCGGATGTAAGAATGGATTAGCACTTCAGTATGTTGTGATATTGGGTGTACCTGAAGTTGTGTCTGGAAAGAAGAACATGGCACTTAGTGCTGTATTTAATCAGTTGGATAATGATACATCAGGACTGTTTGTGTATGTATTATGTTCATTTGTATGTTTTTATACTGAGTGCAAATCTTATTGAAAAAAAGAAAAAACTCATGAAATGCTGCACAATGGTGTGAGTAAAATAATTGTCTGAAAACAGTTTAGACACTTTTGCTCTTGAAATTTTGCTCATGAAATATATATTGTTTATATATATAACTTGATGGTGATTATTATAGTATTCTAAATTGTTACTATCACAAATTTTACAGAGGTTTTGACTTCACTACATACATTATATTTCTTTTAATTACAAAATATCACGTACAAATATAAACAGATGAGACTGACTAACATAATTTCAGTGTTTGGTTATTCAGTGAATGAGAATATATGTCACTAAGTTTGACATATAAATGTGAAAGCTAACTAAGATAAGTTTTGGTAATGCAGGCCTTCCCAACTACNTGCACTGCAGAGGTGATTTTGATTTTAATTTGAAAATCAACACTACCGGTATCTAAGCCGAGTGACAAGACTTGCAGTTAAGTTACTGACATAAGTTTGCCCAACTAGACTAAACGTACATGTCATAGCCTTTGGGTATTTTGGGTCATTAGACATAACTTGCATAACTTTGTTGTAATATAATGTGGTTCTGAAAATATGTTTTGTAAGCTCATTATCTGACGGATCTCTCACAGAGTACGAAGGATGTAACTGTGGAATACACCCGTGCAAACTAAATGGATCCAAGTTTGAATGCAGTTGTCTTCCTGGTTATGAAAACATCAATGGGACGTGCACAGGTAATGATAAATATCAACTTGTACATCATTTCATGAGATATTTTGAAAGACATATTATATATATTTATGTTTCATCGTAGAATTTTATGCGGCAATGTGAAACAAAAGGTTTAAAATCAAGGCGTATGTAAATGTACGCTTTAACGTAAACTAGTTTAATTCGATCGAATAGTTTTATTTTGAAAGCGACCTCGTCTTGATCAGGAGCGTTTTTTTATTATTCTTTAGATATCGACGAATGCAACGGTGCCATACATGTATGTCCATCAAATTCAAGGTGTATCAATAAGGAGGGGTCTTATAGGTGTGAATGTATCCCTGGTTACGATGGAAACTACTGTACAGGTATGCTTTTTTCATTTATTAATTTAGCATGTATGTTGATTGTGTAGAATTAAGGTTAAGTTGTTTGAAATGAAAAACAACAGCATTTTCAAATATGCTGTTGCTTTCAAACCTTTGATCATCATGAACTCATAGTGGCATGACATTGGCGCGTTCTTTTCAGTTAACTTCCTGACGTACTCTAGAGATTCACACTTCCAATGCTACGGTTTAATTTTACTTAATTTTATTTGTTTATTTTATTGACAGATATCGATGAGTGTAAGTACCCTGGCAGCTGCCCCGGCTCCGGAATGCAGTGCATTAACACCGTGGGGAGTTACACGTGCACGTGCCGTGCTGGTTACTATGGGGACAATTGCGGTAAGTCTGCCTTTGGCACATCGTTGATTTGGTCTATGATACCACTGCATCTTTAGCGAAGACAAGATATAACTGCATCTTAATCTACTTTACTCGGACATTAATAATGCCAGCGTGCAGCTTTTTTAATTGATTTAATAAAACGACAATACATAGAATTCGACGAGATATTAATTCCATATTTCATCTTATTGCACATTTTTCTAGACCATAGATGCCCCGATAAATTCATAGAAACAAGCACAGGCTGTTTGTTTGTTTCGACAGCCTTGGTAACCCAAAGCAACGCGTCGCAGTTGTGTGGGAGCGTCCATCCCAGTGCACATTTGGTGGACATTAAGAACAAAGCAACATACAAGACAGTCGCCAGATATCTACATCCCGCAAACTCTTACTGGATGGGTAGGTTTTGTATTTGAAGTATGGCTCCTATTTTTAATTTCTCAATTTGTGGCAATTGTGGCAATGTTTATATCTCACATTTCATAACGCCCATCAAATTTTATTAGATATCTCCGAAAATATTAAAGTTCTGAAATAATTACTATTTTTCAAGTTTAGACAGCGTTCAAGTTTAGACAAAGCGATTTTCTTGATCAGGCTAAATCGTGTCGCACTTTCGAATTGTTTTGAATAAAGTATAAGCAGATAACTTGATGCTTTATTATTACCAGGTCTAAACGACAAACAGCAAGAAGGAACGTTTGTTTACAGTGACGGAAGCAAGGTTGCCACCCTATACAACGAATGGGATTCGGGCCTGTCCACCCCTGCGTCCAATGACCGCACCAAAAACTGTGCAGTGATAGATGGAAACGCAGCTTTCCAGTGGAGGGTCGTCCCTTGTGATAATTTAAACTTGGCTATATGCGAGCTTGATAAAGTGTGGTCCAAATAAACATTGCCATTGCCGAAATTACAATTTATATTTAAAATACCTCAAAATTACCAAAATTTAATTTTTATCACTAAGCCCAAATCCCCAATCCGAAGTTTTTGATTTGCAAAATTTTTGTTTTCCAACTGAAAACAAATGTTTGATGCTTAATAAAGTTAGTAATCATCCTCACACAATTACAATGGACAATAGTACAATAAAGAATGCACTATAAATCGCTGTCTGAAACTTGTTTGTTCCGCACGTGGATAGTGCTTGTGAACATACGTGTCTCTATATTGTAATTTTATTTAAAAAATAATAATCTTACATATAACAGTCTTATATCAACACGCACGTTGTAAACAATGAATTTAGAAGTTATCTATGGAAAGCTATTATCATTATCCATTATTCTTGATGTACGAATTATTTAAGTCAAATCCATAGGTAAAAACAAAATCATTTTATACTAATCGGTGATTTTGAAAGATCTCATAAATAATTTATAGAAAAAAAAGGGTCAAAATAAATCTCTGTGATGACGGAAGATTATACAATCTAGGAAGGAAGGCAATAAATCTTGTTTAAATTTTAATAAATTGTAGCAATTTGTTCTTCGTGTTCTCTTGGATCAATCTAACACAAATATTGCATTATGACCTCTGGGGTTATCGGTAGCACTGACATGTACATGGTCCAATTACCAAGTAGAAACACGTGAACACGTGTCCTCCGAAATGGGCCAATCTAATACAAACAGAGATTTTACGGCCTCATGGCCTTGTGGGTCGTCGCTGGTCAAAGGTACGAGGTGGTGTAAGTTGCACCCCGTAAACAAGCACGCGATAACTGATAATTTTTGTGTGCTCTATATGAGTGAATCTTTTCGGAAATTTTCCTGATTCTCCTCAAAAGGTAATATAAGTTTCTCTGGACCTAGAAAGTTTTGCTCCGATAAAATTGTCAGTCGATTCAGGCTCCAGTAGTGCCATAAAGCAAAAACTTGACTGCCACTTTCATAACTTTGAGCAACGATAAATATTCAAGATGGCCGCCAATTCCAATACAATATACTTCTATTTAAGTGAGAGGCCCTTGCAAGGTCTTAGTTGATATCACCAAACAAAAAATATCTTAATGGAAGTTCTGTTACTTTATGGAATCATGTACGTAACTTTTGTCAAATTAAAAAGATCAGCCATCTGCCTAAAATAACACATTATTCTCTAAATTTGACTTAAAACAAATTATTTCATTTTATAGACATAATAAAGAGCTATAAGTACAGTTTTTAAAAGTTTTGCATTCATGTGCAATCTTTGAGTATTCTAAAATATTTACAATATGGCCGTCATTTTTCATTCTCACTTTTCAGTCACAGGTTTGAACACAGTGCATATCGCAGGTGTTATATTAGGTTTTGATTCCCATGAATAGAATAAGTACTATGAGGCAAACACGTTTTTTTCTAAAATGGCCAGTAATACCAATTGAGAAATATTGATTCCCATATATTGGACCTGTGATGTTGGTAGCACCACTATTCATGGATACCTGTTCACTATAAACATGTTGATATGGTTTTCTCCGGTATTTGGAGTAGTTATGGTGCCATTTGTAAATCCAAAATGGCCTTTAACAGCCTGAGAAAACACGTTTTTTTTTTTTTACAAATCGATTGCTTTCAATACGAACGTTTTTATTTTTAGTTATTATGAAATTTGTAACAGTTTTCTGGTCAATAAATATTTTACATGATGACCCTCATAACCAATAGGATAATTCGTCCCCCGGAGTAGATCCTAGTTATCATGCCGGTGGTTGCCGAGTACATGCAATATACTAACAATCACATATATAGTAAGATAGATACGAAAGAAGTATAAACCAATTTATTTTTACGTGAAACAGGTTTATCTTAATCAGAGAAGGTCACGACACTAAGTATGAACTAAATTATCGAGCTGAGGATATAAAAGGCTCCCCTGTCCTACATAAGAGAGTATACCCCCAACTGAAAGTACATGTAGATCTCTGCATCTGCATATTGTTTCATCTTAGTTTCACAATGAAGTCCATACATTTGGTCAACCATATATGGCTTGTGTGTGCATGCCACTTGATATCAAGCTTTGCGGCGTTTCCTTGCCCTATTCGTTACGAACCTGTAGGGTCTTATTGCCTGAGATTCAACCAGAACCGCCTCACGTGGAACGATGCCCGCCGAAAGTGTTTGAGAGAAGGAGCGCACTTGGCTGTGATAGATACTGCGACGAAAAAAGATTTATTCATCAGTTACCTTACAAGATATGGAAGTAAGTGACGTTGCTGTTCTGTATCAGTGTACCAGTAGAATACATTGTTTATGCATGAAAATGTAAAAAACGGGCAGGCCCTTGATGCTATTTTTCAGTATTTCAACGCCTACACTCAGTGAAGAATGACAAGATATGTTTTATCAAAAAAAGCTAAAGAAAACAAAGTTCTTAAAATTAGTTATCAGCTCCCCCCAATGAGACGACGGCGGACGTATTGTCTTGATGACAATACACATTTCTGAGTTTTGATATTGGTTGATATCCATTTATTAAAAGTTGTCTGTAATTGTGATTTTGGAGGTCCATCAGTTTGGTTGGATGGAAAGGATACCAATGGAAGAAGAAACTGAATATGGTACTCGACCGGTGTCAGCGTTGATAGATTTTTGTGGGCTAGTGATCAACCCAATAACTACAAGTATCATTTTATATGCCAATATGAACCAGGTAATTCTTGTTGAATGCCGTGTACTTTATAATCATAGAGAAGTCGTATGCCTATGTGCATTTCCTTGCAAGTCTCAGGATGAGGGATATGGGTCAAAATATATCCTCCATTGTAGCTTACCACTTCCTCGCTTTAAGAAAAAAAAATCATTAAATGTGGAAGCATGCTATTGTTATTTGCAACGTTTTAAGAAAACTAATGTGGATCTCGTACTGCGTACGAGTTCTCCGTTCTGCAAACAATGAAGGACGTGTCCCGTGTTTTTTATTTTATTTTATTTATTTATTATTATTTTTTTTTTTTTGTAAAGTGGATGGAAAGGATTATTAGAGACATGTCATAGTAAAAACACTCTTTTTTTCAACATGATATGTTTACTTGTTAAAAGTGGTTCTTACATGCAATTGCATGTTTTTTGTAATAGCAACCGGTAACGTGAAAAATACCCTAAGACGAAAACGTTCACCAATTGGAACACGAAATGGAGCCTGGGGAGCATGGGCATCATGGAGCACGTGTTCAGTAACGTGCGGTTATCAAGGTCTGAGGTCCCGCACTCGTCTATGTGATAACCCAGCACCCGTTTTCCCCGGTAAACCCTGCCTTGGAGATGACCGACAAACTAAAGTATGCCATCCTCCGCAGTGTCCCAGTAAGTAGGCTGCTGAGAGGTTATCTCCGCTGAGATATCATATCTGCAGTTAGATGTTATATGTTATGAATGATTGCTTAGTACTTTATAAGGCTAAAATTTAAAATATGATTTAACATGCCATTTTCAAATGTTTGATTTCTCAAATGAGGTATTGCTATGCTTTGATAATGCACTATTATACTCATAATGGTTGTCATACATGTATCAGTTTTGGAGTTAGGGGGTGTCGGGGGGGCTGCCTCGCCCCCCCCCCCCCCCTTTCGGTTTCTAGTAAAAAAAAATCACACCAGTATTCCCCTCTTGATATCGGAATTTTGAAGAGCTGAATCATAGTTCTAAACTGCATCAAATGACACAATTTGCCCTCCAAAACACCGAAACCAACACACACATGGTGTAAAATATATGCAACTTTCATAAAAAATCCTTTCCTTTTGTTTAAATCCATTTATTATTGTATTTCATGTTAGACCCTTCTATATTTTTATTATAGCTTGCCAAGTACACAATGTCCCTGGGGCCATGAGCTCGGTATCTGCTGCAAGAATAAATGAAAATGAACAAGTGAAGTATTACTGTCTACCAGAATACAAACTGGTCGGCGGAAGTCTGATAAGAACATGTCAGGCTAACGGTACTTTATCAAATGAGGAGCCACAGTGCAAAAGTAAGTAAAAGCTAAATTTTAAGTAATAACTAAACTATCCTTACTCTTTCACAGATAATTGGAAATATTATGAAAACTCTCACAAAACAAAGGTACCAGATTTAAACAGTTTGGGTAAGACGAACGTTAGGACTTCATATAAATGAAAAACAACGAGTAGGCATTGCTGCGTCAGCAGTATTTTTTTAAATTAAATTTAAATAGGCTAATTTAAACCTTCCTCATCTTTTCGAATTTATGGAAGCAAAAAGTGTGACTGAAAAACAGGAATAATAGATATCTAAACTACCCCATTGATTTAAACGCCTGAAGTAGTGTTTGCCACCAGGTAAACAAAACTGTTCTCTTTTGTACTTCGGTTATGTTTATCTTAATTTTTAAGTCTCGTCCGTGACAGAAGATTACAGACGTTCACTTGAAGCACGTGTTTTTTTTTTTAATTTTATTTTTTGGTTTTTAACAACCGAAACTAGTGTTAGAAATGATTATTTTAACATTTCTAGAATGCTGTGGAAAGGCACGTTACATCGTGAACGGTTATCCCAACACGTCTGCCACCTTGTGCTATGGTGACCACGTCAACTACCTGTGTGACAGAGGTTACAAGTCCTCAAACAGCACGCCTATTACCTGCTTGTCACCCTACGAATGGAAGTACATACCACTGCCTAAATGTGAACGTAAGATACGACTATTTACCAGGTTAAAATAACTGCCTCACGATTCCTTGTATCTAGCTCTCTCCTTCTCTTTCTAATATCATTATTCCTTATGGTGATGGAATGTTGATTTACTTACCAAGGGAAGTAACCTTACCTAAATGTAAGATATCGTAAGATTACATAATTCTGTATATCATTACGTCTATAATATTTTGCATAATAATTATTCCCCGACGCATTGTTAGGTCTCGATTCTTATGTTTATTGG